ACCCTGCTGGGATAATAAGCCAGCCAAAGGAGGAGATAGTAGCCCCTGACATCAAGACCAGGAAGCTCCTGACCATGAATGGTTCCAGTCCAGCACCCTGAGGCTGTACGCTAAGCGGAAAGAAGGAAGCCAGAGACTGTGAGTGTCAGCACCAAAGTCCAGGATGAGATAACAAACATCCATGAATCCAGTAAGATGGATCCAACCGACCGCATGTTCAGTGAATACCTCAGGCAGCAGAAACCCAAGAAAGAGGAGGAAGAGGAGGAATGATCATGGAAGGATAGGCCCCTGCACGGTATGTACCACCGGCAGATAGAGGAGACATTGAGAAGTTCTGCTGGTGGCTGGACAAAGCTGGATTGAAAGACAGTGCAGTGGCACTAATCATGGCAGCACAGGAACAAGTTCTGAGCACAAGATCTATAGAGGCTGGGGTCTACCACACCAGGTAAGACTGCAGGTGCAGGCTGTGTAAAGATGCCCCTGAGACATAACTGCAGGGTACAAGATGCTAGCAGGCAGGGCATACATGGAACGCCATAACCAAGTGGCCAACATAGTGTACAGAAACATCTGTGCTGGGTACGGCCTGGAAGTCCCGAGGTCTAAATGGCAGATGCCCCCTAGAGTGGTTGAGTATGACCGAGCTAAAATCCTGTGGGACTTCTTGATACAGATGGGCAAAATGGTGATGGCTAACCAACCAGACATAGTAGTGGTGGACAAGCAGAGGAAGACGGCTGTAGTGATAGAAGTAGCAATACCGAATAACACAAACATCAGGAAGAAGAAACATGAGAAGCTGGAGAAGCACCAAGGGCTCAGAGAAGAGCTCGAGAAGATGTGGAGGGTGAAGGTAACAGTGGTCCCAGTGGTAATCAGAGTGCTCGGTGCAGTGACCCCCAAGCTAGGCAAGTGGCTCCAGCAGATCCTAGAAACAACTACCAACATCTCCCTCCAGAAAAGCGCAGTTCTAGGAACAGCAACACTGCGCAAGAACCTCAAGCTCCCAGGCCTCTGGTAGAGGACGTGAGCTTGAATGATAGACAGCCCAACACAGACAGAATTTAAATGCATTTCACAGCTCTGTTGAAGAAGCTGTCTCTCAGTCTAGTGGTGCATGTTTGTATGTTTCCAGAGAAGAAAGCAGTATACACAGTCCTTTGCCAAGGTGGGTGGTGTCTGCAGCAATACATCTGGCCTTCTTCTGGATTCATCCAGCATATACCAAGTCCAGATGTGGGAGTGGACTTTCCACAATCCCCTGTGCTGTTTTCACCTCCCAGGCCAGTTTTTCTGTCTTGTGCTGTGCTACTGCCATACCATACTGTTATACTAAGACAGAAGGTGCTTTCTATTGTGGCTCTGTAGAAATTCACAAGCAGCCAAGAAGAGAGTGTGATCCATTTTAGCTCCCCGAGGAAGAAGTGCCTTTGTTGGGCTTTCTTCACCAGGTGTGATGTGTTCAGCGACCAGGTCAGGTTAGATGTTATGTGGAGACCCAGGACCTTGATGCTGTTGTTATCTAAGAACCACTGTGTCAGGTGTTGAATCTCCTCTCTATAGTGAGTCTCATCATTGTCTGATATGAGACCCACCACAGTGGTATCATCCAAAAACTTAATGACTATGTTAGTGAAATTAATGGCAGAACAATCGTGAGTGAACAGAATGAATAAGGCCGGACTGAGCACACAACCCTGTGGTGTTGTTCAAGACCAGTGTGGAAGATGTCCAGCTCTCTATTCTCATCATCTGAGGCCTGTTTGACAGGAAGTCCCTGATCCAGTGGCACAGCGATGTTGGCACACCCAGGTCATAAGGCTTCAGAACCAACATCGTAGTATAAGAGCTGGAATGTTCGAAGTGGGTCAGTACAGTGCTAATGCGACGGCATCCTCTGATGCATCCTTTTCAGGAAAATCCTGTCAGTTGGTCAGTGCATGCCTTCAAAGTCCTGCCTTCCTCCTTATCTGGTCCTGTAGCTCTGTTGGTGTTAGTCCTCCTCAGGGTGGAACTCACTTGGTTTAGATGAGGGATGATGCTCGTTAGCTTTACACCGTGCATCATGATCATCATGCAGCCTGCTGTACCATTTGCTCTCGTCACCTGCAGGCTGCCCTACCTTTTTCACCTTTTGCATCAACAGGTGACAGTACTGAACTGAACCATGACACAAAAAATAATCAGGAAGGGGGCAAATAATTTCTCACTTACATTGTAAGCATGTTTGCATTAAATATAACAGAATTTGAATATTTAGGATTTAAAACCCTGTTTAAAATGTTAATATGTCATCGCTTAGCTGAAATAAAACAAATCTAGCATGTCTTGGTATGAGAATGCTTTATAACTATCTGTGTTTTTCTTTCCCAGGTCTTTTATTTCTTATACTATGGCAGTGATCGCTGTGAACTTTGTGGTTCCTCTGTGTGTCATGTTTTACTGCTACTACAGTGTGACAGTCACTGTCAGGAGATACAAAGCAAGCAACTGCCTGGACTGCATTGACATGGATTGGTCTGATCAAATGGATGTCACCAAGGTGAAACTGAGCCGCATTTTTAGGCTTTGTTTGTTAATGCCACATGCATCTGTATTTATCAAATGCATGTTTAAACAGAGAAGAATAGTTCTGGTCAAAATTCGTTTTTTTTTTTTACAAATATCCGATCTATGTTGTTCAATATTACAACATTACCGTTGACACTCTTTACGAGTTTGGTAGGCTAACCATTTTTTTTTACCATGGTTATAGCTTTAGTTCAGACCACAGTGTTCTTGAAAATTGGAAAGTAATTTAGTTCTATATAATAAACGTGAAATTCAGGAAAAATATAGACTCCCGTGTGGTTTGTGGTCCACATGGGATATATAATTTATACTACATGGAGTAAATTTGCATGTTTTATATAATGTTGTTGTTGTTTGTTGTTGACAGATGTCAATTGTAATGATTGTCATGTTCCTGGTTGCCTGGTCTCCATACTCCATGGTGTGTCTGTGGGCATCGTTTAGTGACCCAAAGACTATCCCTGCAGCAATGGCTATTATTGCTCCACTCTTTGCCAAGTCCTCCACCTTTTATAATCCCTGTATTTACGTCATTGCCAACAAAAAGTGAGTGTTCTCTCTTAAATATGCTATGACAATAGTTAATATTTCTGTGCTAATAAACTTTTGCATAAGAAACTAATATGTGGGATAAAGTGGGATATTTCTGTGTCACATTAACATTTTTATATACTTCTGTCTGTAGTGTGTAGTGATGGTGGTGTGTAGAAGGACTTAAATCACCTTTTCTTGCAGGTTCAGAAGAGCCATTACAGGCATGATTCGGTGTCAAACAAGACAGCGAGTCACCATCAATACCCAAGTTCCCATGACAATTTCCCAACAACCTCTGACCCAGTGAGATGATGTTGCATTCAGCATGATGTCACATTAATATTAAAATAACTTGGCATTAAAACGCTGTGTAGAAAAATGCAATAATGACACCAATGAGTGACGGTGCTTCCACTGTCAGCTCAGCAAATATTTTGTCTCCCTTAGTTTCACAAAATGTAACCTACAAAGTCTTTAAAAGGGTGAGAGCCATAGATGAGCTGCTTAGGCTGGACCCTTAAAAGCACCTGTGTCTAATGGGCTAAGCCATTTTTTAAAGATTGCAGCTTCCACTATCAAACACCCATGCTGATGTTTTTCTGATAGCTTGATTGAAAAGCAGCTGTAGTGTTTCCTTCTTCTCCTTTATTGGGACTGTAACAGGGCTACTGTCCCTTCTATCAAAAGTCTTAAGAAACCTGTGAATAAACACTTAAAAAATAAAGAAAAAACAACGTTTGTATTCATGCCTTATTTTTTTGTCTGGTCTCTCATATGTTTGCAGGTACACTTAGCTTGACTACATGGCCCATATTATTTTTTATGCTATATATAAATTACATGAATATGAAAAAAATCATATGTTTTTCTTAACAATGTAGGTCTTTATTCTTATGATGAAGTACTTCTTGGGTGCATCTCTGGAGTACACCAAGCCTTTTCTACTCTTTCATAAACATGACGATGCCCCCCTCCCCATTTCTCCCACATTCTTACTCTCTGTCCTGGTGTGAATATGTGTGATGGGGTACAACCTACCATCCTGTGGTTAATGTAAACATAATGTGCACTT